AGAAGGTATTTATTATACACCAAGTGCCAACAATGTAGCCCAACAAAAGGAAACCAATTAAATAAATAAATCTATAACAGGGAACTGAATACTAATGCCTGTTTTGACTGACTAATTTACCAGAAATATATCTAATGAAATAAAGCATATACCAAAGTCACTATGTGAGAAAAGTTACTAAAGTTGAATTATGTAATTTAGTTCATGGATGTCCAAAATTCCACAAATATAAACTAAAAACAAAAACAAGCCTGATATGCCAACCATCTTTAAGTTTTCCTTCCTATGTGCCAAAAGAAAATTATGACAGGCACATTGTACCAAAGTATCTTTCAAGATCAAGTATGATGAAACAGCCAATTAATCTGAGTAATGGAATACCTTGTTCATCTAAAAGCAACGCTAAAATTCTGTCCACAAGATCCTGCATAACAGAACATCAGAAAAACCTATTTAAAGAGGAACAAAGAAGAACCAAATGCAATGATATAAACCAAGAAAAAGAACAGGATTAGACTAATAAGAAAACAAGATTTGCGTGCTGGCATGGCTGACCAGGAATAAACACAAAAAAATAAGACTAACTATTTGGATAGCAATTGTTGTATACTGAACAATTATAATAAGAAAGATAACACAGTTCTTATAAATTTATAATATATATTTGACATGAGAATACAAAAAAGCATATAGTAAAAAAAATGCTTTAAGTCTAATATCAAGCTTAATGGAGAACACTTCATAATCCAAATAAGTTACAGATTAACACACACGGAGATTATAAATAAGCAGGACAAAGATGCAAATATGCCATCCGTAAACACGCAACAAATCTCCATCATTTGTGGCACATAAAGAGACACCTATCACAACAGAGCCAAGTTCCCACATTTATAACATTCGGAATAAAACAACTCAATGGTACTCAAAAATTAAAAGTATCAAAGAGAAACCACTCTTACCTGCTTCTTCCCTTGCTTTGCCAGACCAAGTTGAGTTAAGACATCTTTAAGTTCTTTTATTCTAAAGTATGCCAACTTATCCTGACACAAAGTACAGAGACATCAAAAATATAAATGTAAACAGGAAACTTTTACTGCAAGAAATAAATATTGATTAATTAATACAGAGATAAAGAAATTAACACGTGTCTCAACTGAAAAAGAAACTCCAAAGTCAAAACTTATACTGTTCCCTCAGTCCATGCATACACAGGTAGCTACCATAAAAAACACACCACTTAAAAAGAATAACCAACATAACATCCTTGAAAGGTGTCGACTAACCATGGTCTGTTATAAATTAAATTAGCTAAAACCATAATCCATAAAAGAATTAGAGGATGGGAATGTTGTGGATTAGAATGGCCAATCAAATGCGATGAATAACTTACCCAAACATAAATAAATGTTGTGGATTAGCACAAAATTTATTACAATTAACTTAGTTTATGGCTACAATCTATATAAGAATAAGATACATCACAATTATCTAAGCTCAAGTATTTAAGTAAGACATATAAATCTATACATAGAAGATAAACATCACTTATACATGTTAATATGTCTGATTATAATTATAATTTTTTAAGACATTATATGGTTTGGATGAGTATCGCTTACATGTCACAAGATGCTTCCTGCCTAAGCCATAGCACAAGCAACTAGGTGACACTCCATAACAAAAGCAAACTAGGTAATAGATCCAATCTATAACACTACAATGTGATGGTCTACAACTTTGATTTGTTACAAGTAATTATTGCATGTCTCACAAATTCAACAAATTGGCAACTTAATCATCTAACTAGAGAATTAAAAAACTTCAAAATTTTGACATAGACTTACTTTTATGATGGCCGTGCTTGGGAACACATTTGCCTATATTGTGCATTTGGAGAAAGAAATTTAAGTAAATGTGCAATTGTGGAATGCTTCGAGTGTTTGATAAATAATAGATGAAAATTATTTTTTAAATATGCATTGATGTAAATGTTATGGTAAGATTGTACTTCAAAAGTCCATTGAATATTATCTGATAAATTTATCCTTCTAATATTATAATATTTTGTTCGCAAGTGTTAATAAGTAAATAAATAAAATAAATATATGAATGTATGTAATCTTACAAAAAATTTCATATGGCTGAAATATATAATAAATAAAATATAAATATAAATAAATATAAAATAATCTTTAAAAATAAATAAATAGAATTATATCTTATAAAAGACATAAATCATGTTGGTTTCTTACTAAATTATGTTGGCAATCTTGTGATTTTGGATAATGATAGCGGATACTTTGGGAATTTAAAAAATTATATTAGCAGCCCGCAAATGCTGAAATGCTAATGTTACCCTGTGGTAGGATCAGCATTTAAACATTTGCAATGCAGCATCCAGGCCAAATGCGAATTGGAAAAAATTTACCAAATATCAATTCACATTTAAAATGTGCATTGGGCCCTCGAAATACATTTCAAATGTGTTGTCAAATACACTCAACAGATCTTGGTAGCAAATTTGAGTCAAGTGATCCTCCCTAAAACCTACATTGGTGGGAACTCGTCCACTGGGAGTGTCCTTTTTAATAGAAAAAGTGGGCACTTTGCAAAAATGAACTATGTTTTAACAATCAATAGGACTGACATCTTATGGAATAGCGTGAAGATAAAACATTTCACTGAACTCAACCTAAATTATAAAAATGTCAGTCCGAAAGAGCTCCATAACTTTTAAGGATAAGAAGCTCGCTGATTATCAAATAACTATAACCTACTGTTACCAGCCTGAGATTTCCTGCCAGAAAGACCAGAGGCACTGTTACAAGCACCTTGAAGATATTACTTCACACTTTCAACCAGGAGTTGGTAATTATGTAGCAACAAAAATTCTCGTATGGAGTATGTATCACCAAACAAACAAGCATAAGAAGAGCGAAGTAGAGAGGAAACTTAGAGTTAAACGAATTCACCAGAATTAAGCACAGTAAAACTGCTAAAGATATCACAGGCAGCCACCAAGAACCATTAGCACCACCGCCGAAATCTAGTCTAAAGGTTTTAGAGGCTAAGAAGTCAAGAATATAAAATTTACACAAACATCATCTACTGAAGCGCTCAAATGGAATCAGATAACACACTTCGGACAATAATTCAACTGGTCAAAAAGAATATGAAGTCACTATATCAGAACATGCACAAATTTCCCACAGAACTCCAAATTCAAGTTCAATTCGGACTGTGAGCTCCTTATTTCTCCTAGGATCAGTCTATTCGTCATCACAAGACATCTCAATCGTGTCCTACAGATAAACAATAGAAAGGAAAGTAATACACAATTCAGAAATCATGAAAGAAAGGGAGATACCCGACAGCTCGCGACCAAATCCATCGATCCAAGACCTTCCACGTGCACGTCAATCAACACCGAGAAAACCACAGCCGCCTTCCCAATTGACCAAAACCCCGACGCCGAGGCTCGAAATCATACAAAATTCGCTCAAGTAAGAACCATGGGAGCAGATTCCTGACCAATCCAACAAACGAGGAAGCACAAAGCCGTGGGAGATGCCTCTATGGATAATTCGGGCAGGAGATTGCGTGGCGGAGAAGGAGCCGATCGATCTACCATAGATCGGGGTGGTGGATCGACGCGAAACCTAAGTGGAAGAGATCGCCGCCGCTGGTCGCAGTCGGTGGTCGAGATGCGCGAGCTCTCTAGAACTCGATGAAGGGCGACGCAGAAGAGGGGCGAAGATGGTCTAAAGGGGTGGGTTGGGGTGGCGGACCTGGCCGGCGCATTCAAATCCGGTTTGTTGCGCCCGGACGAGTCCGCGCCATCGCGTACGTCTCTTCGATGAGCGATTTTTTCTTACCTTCCTTGCACTTCCCCGCACGACCTACCGACCTCGGGATTGGAGCTAGCGATGGAATGACAGGTGAGTCGATGGCGGCCCCGCTCGCTCGCTGCACTGCAGAGCGGGGCGGGGAAGCGGGTGGGTAGTTAAGGGGAGGGCAAAAACATTTCTGTTGGAAGATTTTGTCTTTTTGCGGTCAATATATAATATTTCTTTTGGCGTGGCAAATGGGGCGGTAGCGTACGGTTGAGATGGAGGGAGTCGAAGACTTTCGCATTCGGATTCACTGATGCATACGGCGGGCAGAGCAACGAGATCGTGTGTGCCAGCGTGCGTGCCACCCAACACGGGAACCGCGTTCGGCCCAGCCCGGGCCGATTCAGCTCGGAAAGCCGTGGACGGGTGACGTCGCGGCTGAACGGTTGGCACCCGGTCGGTCTCCACGTACGGGCTGCATCGCTGGCCGGTGGAGCCCATCTCGCATCAGCCATGCATATACACGTCACCCAGGATCGATCTTTGCGGATGCTAAACGTCCAAAAGGACTTCGGTGGTGGGTTGGTTACTCACAATCCACGCGGTCTCCAAACGGGTGGGTTATCTTTTAATGAAAGCCGAAGTGTAAAGTGTCACAAATCTTCGGTGATCTCATTCTAAAAAGACTCGCGACCTACCATGGCAAAAGAAGGTGCTTCTTAATACAAAATTGATATAGGTGATTTAGCCACTAATCAAAGAAATAAAGTTAAATCCATAAAAAAATATATCTTTTTTTATTCTCTTTATGCAAACCAAAAGAAAAGGGAGCATACCATAATAAAGGTCATCAATTTGTTAGGTATAATGAGATCATATTCACTGTAATCAAGAGCATAGAAGACCTGCATAGTCCATCGTATGGCTAAAGATTCATCAAGGAAATAAGAAAGTCATCTTGCCTATTGAACTTACTCAATCCCCCTTTGCAATAAAAAAATGCTATCTGCAATACCCAAGTTCAAAAAGGAATAAAGATTTCATATATAACTAACACATCCACAAACTAACAGTGACAAAATCTAAATTTGAACTGGTTTACCGATCCAGAACCAGTCCAAGCAGATCAGGCTACAAAATTTACTGCAAGAATATACTGAAGGGTTCAAACACAAATATTGCTGTTCCTTACCAACTAATGAGTGTTTCAAAGGATACAGAACTGCCAATTATTGAAAGAAAAATAGCAAAACTTGGTTCTGGACTGATAGATCTACACAAACCGACAAAGACTAGTCAAGCATGCTGTAGGGATTCATCATAGTGAAACTGCAAATATGTTAAACGTTCAGCTAAACAACAAAACGCATGGCAAGCAAAATTTAGGAATGCTCCATGATCACAGGTTCTTGAAAGCAGATTCATGAGATGCTTTTTGAGGTGTCAACCTCGCCAGTAATGCTTTGTTGTGGCAGTGCTCGACATCGACGAAGTAGAAGTTATCCTCGGCCTTGAAGGTTACAAATGGTCTATTGGTCTCTGGTGGCCTGACATCAGCAAACTTGATTGTCCTTGGTACAGGTGTAGCCAACCAAGACATCATCTCAACCTCAAAGTTATCAGAACCAGGTTGCCATCTCAGCTTGTGAATATATGGGCTCACAAACCAGTGCAGAGCAGCAGTAGTGGAAGCACTGAGCAAAATCACAGTAGATGCAACAGCTCCCTTAAGGATCACATTCATCTCAGGGGATGTCATAAATGTTATGACAGGCCCAAGAGACACCGAGAGGCAGCAGGTTGACAGGGACAAAAGTTTCACTTTTTTAATGGTTGACGAGATAGGTCCCCGGTAAATAAACCCAGTTTCTTTACCATCTTTCTCTGTCTCTCCTCTTCTAGGTCCAATGCTAATCTTGCTTTCACCATTTTCAGATTTTGCATATGCAGCTTGAGAAGCCCATCTTTTCTGATCAGATATATTGGTTTCTGAGGTGATACTACCCACTTTAAGTGGCATTGAGGTGGAGCAAGTAACGGCATAATAATGATTCCATGTTCCATGCCTAGAAGGCAAATGATCTGAACATCAAGGAAAAGAGAGCAAATTACAATCTGCTACTTGATCTGGCAAAACATAAAACATGCTGCAGGATGGTTGTGAAATATACCATGAAACTTATTTTTGCAATTAATATGAAAGAGGGGAAAAAAAACATTACCTCATTAACCTCGAGAAAATGAAAATAAACAAACTAAAATTGGGATGCAATGATTACAAACATTTTTAATTTTTAACCCAAAAAATTTCTCTTTTAAAAAGTGAGTCAAAAATATAAGTGCACCTAATGAACACTGTCATAGTGCAATCTGTCAAGTTTCATGTGAAAAATTTTCATACAGAGATGAAAATGATCATAGAGGCAGCCATTACTTGCTAATAAACGGCACCCAACAGAGAGGATATTCAGCTTATGCACAATTGTCACATATATAGAAAATCCTGAATGTTTCATCTTTGTTTCCTTAGTCTAGCAAAATGGATACTATCTATGACCAGATCCAAAGAAACATCAATATAAAAGCTCGGATGACCAATTATTCCTTGTATATAGAGATTGGCGTTGATGATCGTCTTCTTGAACGGCACGTGATATTTATACAGCTAGGAAATCTGCAAGGGTTAAGTCAGCAACCCAAGCAGCATAAAGCATCCGTTGACACATATAAACGGTGGATAGCTAAATTCCCAATTAACTGATATAGTGAACCAAATTTCCAGAACACCGACGACTGAGTATTTTCTCTGTCTCATACACAAGACTATATTCTATTTTCCATTTCCACACCAGACTCGTGCTCCTAAAAAGTTTCAGATAGGAAAACCTTAATCCACTTCTTATACATGAGAATTATACAGGTGAAATATTTTTTTTCACATGTCCTATACTGTGACACATTAAAACAAACAGACAGGGAATTTAACTATGTACTAAATATTTGATTTTGTGACACTAGTACACTTACTAAAAATCACCGGATGATCCTAACGATAGTGTATATTCGGGGTCAATTTACAGTGAAAATGACATTCTCGGAGTTCCAAACTTTTGTAATGTGCATATCTATGGAAAGTTGCGTCCTCCAAGTCCACGCCTTATGATTCTTCTCTCAGAAAAATCCAAAACCTATAATACAGATGCTTTTAGGCGAAAGAACATGAACAGTTACTCTTCCACCAAACTGAAATTTTTTTCTCGAATGACCCATGTTAGGGCAAAATTTTGTAAGCATGATGCGAAGAAAAGATTCATTTTTGCTGTGCCAGAAATCAAGTGAGGTCATCTTTTTGGCGTTCCCGACCGACTTACGGATCGAGAAACGTCAAATTATAATTGAACTTAGGACGGAAACAAGGAGAGACGTTTGCGGTGATCATAGAGCAGAACAAAGCAAAAACGCATGCATATCAGACCTGACCAAGAAATCCTCCGGGACGGAAGCGGCCGCGGCGACAGCTGAGCGGTGGCCGTCGATCGAGAAAGAAGGAGCCGAGAGACCGATCCGAGTCGCCTCGCCGTCATGGCGCCGCTTTCGCTTCCCACTCTGGGGTTCCTCCGCTGCTCATAAGCGGGCCGGGTCGGCTCGCGTGCCTTATTGCGTTCGCGAACCAAATCTGCTTCGCGTCGCATGAACCAAACATGGCAGCCTTGAGAGAGTGGACTCGTCTCAACCTTCACGGCTGAGCTTGCTGACACTTAAGTCGAGCTTAAAAGCTCGCACTTAGTGCGGGAATGATGATATCATATCATCCATATGGCACGCACATATGACATATTTCGTGAGTCTAAAAGCGTTTTTTGGGTTGACTTATATAGTGTGACTTGTCAAACATATTGGGTTATATGGAATTTACCCGTTGTCTTACTCGATCGAAATATCCTTTGTTTCACCTAAGAAATATTGTATCGAGTAAACCATCAATCAATCATTTGGAGTGTGAAGTGCAATTAGATCAATTTATTTATTTTAAAGATTAATTAGGAGAATTTAATATTAACTTAAAAAATAAAAAATAAAATAAAATAATGAAGTATCTTCAAAAAATACCAAATTGGTAATCCATGTAATGTATGATTACCGCTTGTATCATAAATAATTCTTATCCTTGTTATAGGAGTGATTTTAAATATCCAATCAATAATCAATGGAATAGTATGATAAAAAATAATCGTAACAAAGAAAAATGGTACTGAGATCATTTGCCCTATATATGCAAATAAAATTCGGACAGATCTTTTTTCGGAATAGAATATGAACCTAAAAGAATTGAAGAGGTCCATTCAAAAAAATAGAAATTACATCGTGATTTGAATATCGATGAAATAATACATCATTGAGAGAGATTTGTTCAATTTTAATAAGTTCAATAAATTCTTATTTTTAAGGTAAGGAAGCCAAAAGACATCTCATGTCTTTTAAAAAATGGAAGCTTTATCAGAAAAATAAAAATCTATTACGAAAAAAAACAAACTAGAATCGACACATTGATTCTTTTTTCGTTTTTTTTTTTGAACGGTATGCATACAAAGGTGTACGTACAGTTCTAAAGGAACTAATTTTGTCCTAATTAATTGACTTCATAAAGACATTATTTTTCTTAGGTCAAGAGGTTAATTATGAGATCTCAAATTAAATTGTTGGTCTCATGGTATATCTCAGTATAGAAGATAATACTAGGGATCTTTTTTTGTTTATAAACTATCCCAACAAATGGGTGGTATCAGGAATAGCTGTTTACGAGGCTATACGATTTATGCCACTTGATGTGCATACAATATGCATGGGGTTAGCCGCTTCTATGGGATCTTTCATTCTGATCGGAGGAGAAATTACCAAATATCTACCATTCCCTCACGCTTGGCGCCATTGAGTTTTTATTTGAAAAAAAAAAGACTATGCCTTCAATATGAATAATAAATAATAATAGCATGGCACTATGAGTTTGATATTAACAAATAATTATTATTTTTTCATAACATAAGATTTTATATCGAGATAGTAATATGAAAGCAATAGAACCATCATAGTATTTTTGACTCCTACGAAAGGAAGGGTGGTAAATGGATCATTCAACGATCTGAATCAAATGGATTCTCTTTCTTTCTTAGATAGAATAGAAGAGAAGAAAAAAGTAAATTCCATTGCGGAGCCATATGCATAGAAGATGCTTGTTTGGTTGTTCAATTTCTTTTTGTTTTTTTTTATCCCTTACGTTAGCTGCAAGATAGAAGAACGATTCATGATGTTATATCAATATTATTAGGGTCATAATTCATCAACTTGCTAGTTCTTTTTATGAATCATGAATAGGAGAATTTATCGAGGAAGTGGAAGAACTATTAAAACTTCATGAAACCCTCACAAAGGTTTATCTACAAAATGTTAGATTTTGTGGTTTTTATAATTAGATAAGATATATATAATATAACTAATTAAAATCTGATGAAATATATTAGTCAATAGAAAAGAAATTCACTTAAAGTATGATTCCTTAGGAGATAACTTTGATTGGAGGAAATTTCCTAATTATTTATTTTAGACCCTCTGCTCTCACATATAAATAGATAGGATCTCTATGGACTAAAGAGTAAACATCTCAAAGGTTATAGTTGAGGGATTACAGTTTTCCCTTAACTCTTTCTCCCTAAACCATCAATCTAGGTGATCCTGTGAAAGAATAGGAAGAGAGAAGAAGAATCTAGTTCCCCTTTACAAATTAACAACGATGTTGGATATAAAGACAGTGTCGTTACAGATCAAACAAAGATATCTTTTTCATATTGTATCAAAAGATGCATCGTTAAATCAGATCTAAGTATTTGATTATAATCCTAGTATAAAAGATTATTTCTACATTTAATACAACATATTACAGTTTTTATGCTTACACAAAAAAATATGTAAACCTTTATGGGTTGTATCCATGGAAAAGGATGTTTTTATGTCTAGAAGCCCAAGCTTATGGCATTGAATAGAAAAAATTCATAATCATCAATCCAATCATCAGGTTAAGATCGATCTAAACCAACCCATTCCATTATATATATATATATATATATATATATATATATATATATATATACCAACTGTTAAACAACTTACTAGAAATGCAAGACAATTAATAAGAAATATTACGAAAATCTTCTCCTCAGCATGAAGGAATATGTAATAGGGTTTATGTGCAACTCATTCAGATTATGAGTTCCAATAAATGATATACTTTTTTCAGTATTAATGAGACCGGTACCGATGAATAAGGTAAATGGAAAAGATCTATCATATACCTATATTGTGTATGGAATTTATGGTTTCCATTGGTGCAAATCCAATCACCTAGATTTGAGATGAAAAGCAATTCCCTAACAAATAGTTATCTATTAAATGAAGAAAATAGTATTATAAGAAGCAAAAAGATTATGCGCCTATTGTTAAAAGAGCGGACTAAGAGGGTCAGCTACTTAGCAAACTTTCCTAATTAAATGTGGTTTCTGTATAGATAACTCTTAGTGTGAAAAGAGTTATTACTCTATAATTGATGGGTAGAGCCAAAGAGTGTGAACTATACAAGTTCACAATACCATTTGGTCAAACGAAATGGTATTTCTCTATAAGAACTATATAGAGTTATTACTTTATAAGAAATATTGTATTGAGTGAATCATCAATCATTTGGAGTGTGAAGTGCAATTAGATCAATTTATTTATTTTGAGGATCAATTAGGAGAATTTATGGTTGACTTGGAAAAATAAAAATAAAATAAAGTAATAAAGTATTCGGGCTCCATTAAGAAAATATCAAATTGGTAATCCATGTAATGTATGATTACCGCTTGTATCATAAACGATTCTTATCCTTATTATAGGAGTGATTTCAAACGTCCAACCAATAACCAATGGAATGGTACAATGAGTACATCGAATGATGGGGAAAGTCATGAAATTAATTGAAAAAAAAATTATAACAAAAAGAAGTGGTACTGAAATCATTTTCCTATATATGCAAATGGAATTTGGACATATCTTTTCCCGGAGTAGAACATGAACCTAAAAGAATTGAAAAGGCCCATTCAGAAACAAGAAAATTACATCGTGATTTGAACATCGATGAAACAATACATCAATGAGAGATATTTACTCAATTTCAATAAGTTTAGTAATTTTTTTTTATAGGTAAGGAAGCCAAAACTCATCATATCTTTTAAAAAATGAAAGCTTTATTAGAAAAACAAAAACCTATTACAAATAAAAAAGAGAACTAGAATCAACACACTGATTCTATTTTTGTAATTTTTTTGAACTGCAAGCATCTAAAGGAACCAATTTTATCCTAAACAACTGACTTCATCAAGATAGATTATTATTTTTTTAGGTCAAGAGGTTAATTACGAGATCTCAAATCAAATTATTGGCCTCATAGTATATCTCAGTATAAAAGATAATGCTAAGGATCTTTTTTTGTTTATAAACTATCTTGTCTAGCATTCCCTCATGGCACCAATAAGATTTTATTTGAAAACAAAAAAGAAAGACTATGCCTTCGCCATATTGAATATGAATAATAAGTAATAATAGCATGGCACTTCGATTTTGTATCGAGATCGTAGTATAAAACAAAGGTTATTTTCGATTTGTTAATTTTATGTATCGAGGGTACATTTCAGTGTCACAAACCATTTTTCTTTCGTAACAAGATAAATATATAAAGCAATAGAATCATCATAGTATTTTTGACTCATACGAAAGGATGGGTGGTAAATAGATCATTCAATGATCTAAATCAGATGGATTCTCTTTCTTTCTTCGATAGAATATAAGACAAAAAAAATTAATTCTATTACGGAGCCGTATGTAACGCACAGAAAATACTTGTACGATTGTTTAATTTATTCTTGTTATTTTTTTTATCCCTTACATTAGCCCAATCATGTAAGATAGAAGAATCGTTCATGATATCGTATCAATATCATTAGTGTCATGATTCATCAACCTGCTAATTCTTTTCCTGAATCACAAACAAGAGAATTTATCCTGAAAATGGAAGAACTATTAAAACTTCGCCAATCCCTCACAAAAGTTTATGTATAAAGAATAGACAAACCTTTATAGGTTCATGTTAAGAGGGTCAGCTACCTAACAAACTTTCCTAATTAAATATTATCATCGTTATATAGATAACTCTTATTGTGAAAAGAGTTATTACTATGGGTAGAGTAAAGAGTGTGAACTATATTAGGTCACAGAACCATTTGGTTAAACCAAGGAAGAGACTCCGGTGTCGTATAGAAACGATGGATGCCGCCAAATGTTGAACCGGAATTAGCCCAACCCACGATCGTTGCGGTCTGACAGAATTAGCCCACTCCAAATTTCAAACCGGGGCCGGCTGGGAAATAAAACGGGGTTCAAAATCGGCGGCGCCTCTCGGTTCGATAAAGTAGAGGACCTAAGATCGAGTATTGGGAAACCGCCATGGATCTCGTCCATAGCCACCACCGCCGGCGTTCGCTTCTCTTCCTCCTCCTCCTCCTCCCCCTCTTCTTCTTCCTGAGCGCATGCCCTGGATCCCGTGCCGAGGTGATAACCCTCACCGAAGAAACTTTCGCGGACAAGGTACTATTTCATCTGGTCAACTCGATCTCGATCTGTACTTTTTCCCATTTCTCTTTGATTTCTGTAAACTTGGATGATATCGAACGATATTGAATCTAAATTTGAGCGGGTTCTGATTCAGTACTTCAAATTGGTTGTTTTCACCACTGAATTTGGATCCCTAACCCTATCTTTTTCTTTGATTCTAACACATTAGATCGGCGCTTCTAAGACTTCATGCTAATGCAAGTTAATCGTTAGTAACCAGAGGTTCAAGAAGAAGCTGGCATGATGTCCCAAGGGATCTGTTTCCTGCCACTGAGCTCGGCAGGCAATACAATAGTCAATTTAACTACTATCAGATCTCTTTTATGATATCTAAAATAGTTTTCTCAGGTCTTGTTTATATCTCTTCTTTCCCTACCCAAATTGTCCCCCTTTCTAACTCGCGAAACTATCGGCCTTCTTTGGACATATCTATAGCATCTTAAATGAACCACCATAAATATATATTTTTGATTGGGAACATCAACATAGTTTATGAACATAAATGTGTCTTTTCCTATCTTTATTAGTAGTAGGCCCACACTTATATTTCAATATTCTCATGTCCCTAACACAACTTCTTGTATATTTTGTTTTCAAACGACTCGATAATATAATTCACGAAGCATGGCTGCGCTTAATGTCATTTCCATAACACTTATTTTTGAACTACCCAATAATCTAATCCATAAAACATGGCTGGCCTCGCTATTATTTTATATAATTTTATTTTTGATATATGGGGCACAAAATAAGCACACAACATATATGCATCTCTATCTTGATCATCTTGATCCAACAAATATAGGTATATATATGCATGCATATGATATTTTGATGCACTGGATATCCAGATTTAACATGCATAAATGATATTGGTTGCATCTCCAAGATCGTTTGGGTTGTTTTAATAGGTTTTTCACCATAACGCTAACTTAGGTATGCTGGCAACTCATGTAATTTATTTTTTCTATGTGTGCACTAGAATTTGGCATATGTTTTATGGTCACCTTTTCACATTCTCTTGGGATCTTATGTTGAATGGTAGCAACTTCTGAATCTATTTTTCCTTGTTTAGGTGAAGGAAAAGGACACCATTTGGTTTGTACAATTCTGTGTGCCATGGTGTAAACACTGGTAATTACTTCATGCATCTTATGTTTATGTGATGACCTGAAGTGTGAACTGTTTCCATTTATTACACTTTTTTTTTTTACTTTATCTCTGGCTATCAGCACATATATGCATCAATCATTAATAAGTGTGTTAATCATCTTGATTATTAATTGATGACACTCCATTGCAGTAAGAATTTAGGAACACTGTGGGAGGACTTGGGGAAGACAATGGAAGGTGAAGATGAAATAGAGATAGGGCAAGTTGATTGCAGTACAAGCAAACCAGTGTGCACCAAAGTTGACATTCATTCATATCCTACATTTAAGATATTTTATGATGGCGAAGAAATCGCAAAATATAAAGGTACTCCTTATCATATATTACTGGAAATTATGCTTCATATGTTCTAGAAAATTTGCTTTGACATTTATTTTGAAAAATTCTGATAATTACTTGTCTTTTTTAAATTAAAAATCATGAGTTCTTAGTTTCTTAGGCGTGACATGAATTTTATGATGAAGCTGTGATATGATAAATTTCATGTGTTCTTGTGTGATATTGTCGCAAATTCCTTAGAATTTGCTATCTAATACTGGAATCTATCCAATCTGCCAGCACTTGGAAATCAGTTCTTCTCTTTTTATGGATATCCTAGTTTTAGACAACTATGATGAATTTGAAAACAAATAAAGATTTGAAAATTTGGAGCGTGTCAACTAAGAACACCTGTAGAAGTGGTTACTTGAGATTCCAAGAAGAATCCTGCGCAAGAAAAAAGGGGGTGACTCAGAAAAGTACCTGGACATAATTTCAAATAATTTAAGGTTTCCCGACTTTAAGAATAGTTATTGTTCCTGAGCTTCTCTATTACTATTTCCTGACTCAGATGGAATATGTAAACTTCCTTAGAGTTAGCTATGTGCTAATATGTAGCATCTGTTAAATTGTGTGAAATGGAGAACGTCAGCTTCATCCAAATATGTTTAAGGTGGTGTTTTTTCCTTCTTATGTTTGATAGCACTGGTATCTGTTGCTCGTGTGACAATAGGGTAAAGAAAGCATGAATCTTCTAAGGACGCAGCTTACTGCTTCAAAAGACATTCATCTCATCTATGATACACAAATCAGCATCTGAATAAACAATTTACAAAGGATTCTATATCTCACCAGTATCCAATTTTCAATTGGATATGCCAAGCATCCAGCTGCATCAAAGTCTCATTTTAGTATCCATGAGTATCCAATGAACACGTATGCAAACTCAAAGCATCCATGTCTGGTCGAATTTTATCCAATTTTGAAACAACTGAAGTTCTTCATCAATGATGGTCATGGTGATCTCTCACTCTCTTGCTGGGTAAGTAAGTTGCATTAGAATGACTTTATCACATATAAAGCTATTCCCTGGGGATGCCTACCATGGCCTGAGATTGCGAAAATGTGTTCTGTTATTGATGTTATTCATCAGAGTGTGAATTTTGGCTCAAAAGGTTGTTTTGCTGTGTTCTTTAATTACATAGTTAAGATTGTGCACATTGGTCCTCCTCAGACCCTACGTTTGCAACAATTCTATGTGCTGACCACTCTAGCAATATTGTTTGTTTATTGGAACTGGAGATCCATGAGCTAGGAAGTTATATTGATTGTGTTCAAAGATGAACTTTGGTGATAGATTAAAGTCATATTATTCAAGTTATTGTGGTTTTTCTTCTGATTGAATTCAAAATTTGGTATCTTGATGTGACTTCTGTGATAAAAATTTTGAATTCAAACTTCAGCCTAATAATTAAATGTTTAAAGAGACTACGATTGTCTGAAATCAACCTCCTTGTTATGCATTTGAGATCGCAATGTTATTTTGCAAAGCCTGCTCATCATACTCAAGAAGTAAGAATGCTATACATGATTTGCAGGTCCCAGACAAGTCGAACCACTTAAACAATTTGTGCTGGATGAAGCAGATAAAGCAGCAAGAGCAAAGCTAGAAGCTGATTAAATGACAGACGGATCCCAGGATCTCGACTTTTTCTTGCCAAAGACGGTTGGCCGAGTTTTATTTTCAGTAGTCACCAAGCTTGCTTTTTTCCTTAATTTTTTGTGCTTCCAGTACCGGTTATTTTTTATCTTCCCCCAACAATCAAATGGGACATTGACCACACAATTGTTGCCGCACCTACCAATACATTCTGAAATTGTGTTGTTTAATCACTAAAATCCAGCATTTAGTGTCAATTTAATTACTGTCCATATGGTTTTTCTGCTCTGTAGATGCAACTACATCTCAGAATGGTGATAGCATTTGGTCATTGTTTTTGTTTTAATTTTCATTTCTTGTAACATCGTAAGATTGCGACTAATAAGCTTCGAATACTCAGATTGTGAATGTTTTGGTCCGGTAAGTTTGCACGGTACTCCCAAGAGGATGTGGGAGGCAGTAATCAATTAGTAAGATTACACATAATGAGTCGAGGCTGTAAAACCATAGGGATTTTAAACCACAAGAAAACAAACCTACCTTTCATTATCTCATAAAGAATAATTAATTGATAAACAAAGGAGCAGCCAAACTACCTACGAAGACAAATAACCAAATGGAACAACTGCAAATTACGCACTGACCACGATCCGATGACAAACTCAATACACGTCCCATATGCTGGGAAACGAGGATCAAACGTCCCGTGGAACGCCTCTCAATCCGAGGCAGAAACCAGCAAACATGGCTAAAAGATTGAACCGAAAGGATTTAGAGACTAGCTGCCAATCACAAGAAAACTAGACCTGATCCAATTTACACTAAAAAGGACCCAAAAACATAGAATTTTTATTTTAAAGCAGAATGTTCACAACTCTTCTGAGGGCCACTAAATTTCACATAAATATTCCGAACTGCCAGGGAGTAGAGAACCTAAAATCTCCCAAGACAGCTGCACTTAGACTCACATAAGCAAACATACGCAAGAAAGAAACACCAAAAGGGGTTGATGGGGGAAAACCATCGAAGGCTTTCGTCACCTCAGCCACTAAGCACCTACATGTATAACATTACACTGCTGCAGAGCTGAATCATCTCATTTCTTCTTGGCAGCAGCCTTGGTGACCTTAGCACCGGTAGGATCCTTCTTCTCGACACTCTTGATGACACCCACGGCCACAGTCTGACGCATATCCCTCACAGCAAAACGACCAAGTGGAGGATACTGGGAGAACGTTTCCACAACCATGGGCTTGGACGGAATCATCTTCACGAAGCCTGCATCGCCATTCTTGAGGAACTTTGGCTCCTTCTCAAGCTCCTTTCCAGAACGTCTATCGATCTTGGTGAGAATCTCAGCAAACTTGACTGCAATATGGGACGTGTGGCAGTCGAGCACAGGGGCATAACCATTGCTAATTTGGCCTGGGTGGTTCATGATGATGACCTGAGAAGTGAAGTTAGCAGCCTCCTTTGCAGGATCTTCTTTAGAATTGGATGCGACGAAACCTCTCTTAAGATCCTTCACAGCAACATTCTTCACGTTAAAGCCAACATTGTCACCAGGGAAGGCTTCTTGGAGAGCTTCATGGTGCATCTCAACTGACTTAACTTCGGTTGTCAAACCTGTTGGACCAAAAGTAACAACCATGCCAGGCTTGAGGACACCAGTCTCAACACGTCCAACCGGGACAGTACCAATACCACCAATCTTGTACACGTCCTGAAGAGGAAGACGAAGGGGCTTGTCTGATGGCCTCTTTGGTTCCTGGATCATGTCAAGAGCCTCGAGAAGGGTTGGGCCCTTGTACCAATCCAGGTTGGTAGACCTCTCGATCATGTTGTCACCCTCAAATCCAGAGATGGGGACAAAAGGAATCTTCTCAGGATTGTAACCCACCTTCTTGAGGTAAGAAGAAACCTCCTTGACGATTTCATCATACCTGGCCTTGGAATACTTTGGTGTGGTTGCATCCATCTGCAATGAGACAAAGGACAACTCAACTGATTAGGAGGAAAAGGAGGAAGGTTGTAGAGAGCAGGTATGGCCAATTAGAGACATTAAACTTTGGATTTTTTTCTACACAAACATAAACAAAAGTAGGACTTTCATCTGTCACTGGGCATCATCTGACATGGTGTCCCAGTTTAACCGTCAAACTCGTTTAGTTTGTGGAATAAAGCACTGCATGAACATGGGCCGGCACTGTATATGACCAAACATGCATTACACCAGGCAGCAGTCAGTCGATTACTTGGTGGAGTGGGTCAGCTCAGTCAGCGACTGTTGGTAGGCCCAACTCCAACCATTACAGGCTTGCAAGCTAGCCCAGACACCAAGTGAACAGAGGACTCGCTACATAAGATAGCATCTCATTGCAAAGACACTTACAGAAGTGCTGACGACAGTGATGCAAGGTAAAAGCGTCATGTTAATGATACTAGACCCTCCAAGAAGACATGACCAATATACAATGTTGCAGAAAAGAAAGTCCTCAACGGTTTTGGACAATGCCAAACATTCATAAAAAGATAATTCTGACCAGATACAGAAAAGTGCACCAAATTAACCATTTCAATAAGTTAAGATGATTACCTTGTTGCAGCAGCAAATCATCTGTTTAACTCCAAGGGTAAAAGCAAGCAGAGCATGCTCACGAGTCTGGCCATCCTTAGAGATACCAGCTTCAAAACCACCAGTAGTTGAGTCAATGATAAGAACAGCACAGTCAGCCTGGGATGTTCCAGTGATCATATTTTTAATGAAGTCACGGTGTCCAGGAGCATCAATGACAGTACAATAATACTTGGTTGTTTCAAACTTCCAAAGTGCAATATCAATGGTAATCCCTCTCTCACGCTCAGCCTTAAGCTTGTCAAGAACCCAGGCATACTTGAATGACCTCTTGTTCATCTCAGCAGCCTCCTTTTCAAACCTCTCAATGACACGCTTGTCAATACCACCCAGCTTGTAGATAAGATGCCCAGTGGTGGTTGACTTGCCAGAATCGACGTGACCAATGACCACAATGCTGATGTGAACCTTCTCTTTCCCCATGGCGACTGTAGCTTAAAGCAAAAAAAACTACCAATAAAGAAAAGATAATTAACATCAGATATAAACTCTGTAATCTGTAATAATTCTTAAATTATGAAACAAAAAACATATCAGGTGCCACCAAGCAATCACCAACTTAATGTATTTTAGATGCATCAGATATATGAATCATTTTAATATAAAGAACCACTTAGACATAGGATATACAGATTCTAGTAAAAGAAACAACATATTAAAATTATTGTTCCAGATCCAATTGAAAACATACGTAACCTGTGTAGATGATTAGTTGTAACAGTCAACAACAAGGAATATTGATTCAAACATTAAACTAGTTATGAGCCTGAAACTTCTAATATCCTTTTTAGCCATAAAAGAGGAACAAAAAGGTCAACTAAATGGACCCATTGCACAAGTGACAACATAATTATTGTACAATCAAATACATGTGACCAATCTCTAGGCAATAACTTGGCTAGGACCATGTGCAACTGCAGTAGCAATATAAATTCAAGGACAGACCTCAGGGAGGTGGATGTCTCTACCAACTTAATGACAAAACATACGATGTCGTACCAAATGCAAATTATTACTAATGATTTTCAGAAAGTAATGTTCCATGAAATGCTAAATGAAACTTGAAACATACAAATGGTACAAACAGGCTAGTAAGAAATCAATGCAGAAGACATCTTAAGCACACATGAATACAGGAGTTAAACATAATGAAAGCGTACAATGATGAATGAACATAAGAACCACATTTGAGTTGTATGCCACAAAAGCCACTGTTTATGAAATTACATGAATTTCAAGCTAGAAAAATAGTATTAACTAAAACAAGCTTCAGCAAGCAGTAGCTATTTTAATTACAGCATTCAGATCAACCCTGCATTAAGGATTCATAAACTAGTTCCATCAACATTTGATAAAGCAAGAACGATTCTAGAGAAGATCCTTCAAGTAAGAGGGAATAATGACATATGTCAAATAAGATGAGCAGCCCTCTAAACTATCTAGGTCTGCGCAATACATTAGGCATATCTCTTGATGATATACTGGCGTGGAGACCGAACTTGGGAATGTAATGAAGTCAATAGCGTCCAATAGGATTTGAACCTATACCCAAGGCCTAAAGAGCCTTCATCCTTTCCATTAGACAATGGACGCTTAAATCATTCCCATGTTCTTTGATCAAACGATATACAGCACACAAAATTTAAAGACAATTCTAGTTTCACATCAGGATCCCATGAGAACAGGACAAAATTCACCAAAGTCAGAATTTACGTGCTAAAACAATAATTAAGTGAGAAAATGAACATGATATCTATAGACAATTTCGCTAAATTGTTAGATCTAACATGCAAGGTACAAATCACAGAAACGTGTTAACTACTAAATCCAAGGATAGGTAATTACCATAAACAACCATAAAAAGCACTGCAGGGGGGCGTAGAAGCGCGCCGAATTAAAATCTAGGGTTTATATTAAAGGCACAAAGAAAAAGAAACCCCAACCGTGCACATACTTCGACAAAACTCATGAAAAGTAAGACATAAGAGTCTCAAATGAATAAAATCGACGCAACGACTGGAACTCACCTCAGCGAAAAACAAGAATCAAGATAACTATGCCAGCTGATCGAAAAGGGGACGAGAATCGCCAAAATCAAACTCAAATATCGAGAAAAACAAGTCAACTTACGAAAAGACTCATCGTTCCGACACGGTTACAGATCAAGAACACGCAACAAAGAAACAGAGGCAAAGCAATGATCCGCGATCGGGCGATTGGAACTCACCTAATACAGAGGCGGCCGAGAGGTAGCGAAGTGAGTTGCGGAGATGAGCGACGCCCTCCGCTTCTTTTAAAGACATCCGGGGGCGTAGTGGCACCTAGGGTTTACTCTTCACCGTCCGATCCTTGTATCTGACGGTCCTGAAAGTGTCATCGTCAGCTCCGTCCGAATTAAATCCAACGGTTAGAGAGGGCTCCGAGCAGGAGCACGAATCGTATCGCATAAAAGAGACCTCCTTTCGGTCGTCGGAAACGACATCATCGGACGGTGGAGGATGTCGAGTGGAATTGGGTAATATTATACATTAACTTATTCTCTTTTGTTTTTTCGTTTCATTTATTGGAGTTTATGTTTTGCTCATTAGTAAGACAATTTGGAGATGATGGTCGCCTAAAAGATTAAGAAGATAATAAGATAATGGTAGGGCTAATTGATTATCTCATATTAAATTAATAAATTAAATAAATCATATATTTTCTATTCGAGTCTTTCGTATAAAAATTAAAATTTGTCATGATAATAAGATAAGAGTATTACTAATTGATCATCATCTTATGTTAAAATAAAATTTGAATAATCATATTTTTTTAGTTTCTTATGATCCATCAATAGTATATCAGTTCCAATAATATTTGTCATAACTCAATATGATAAAATAACTTATTTGTTAATTGATGAAATAATGATTGAAAATGTTTAAGCCCAACAATCATTCAATATTTCATAAATTAATCTTAATCTTTAAGCAGTTTAGGACAAAATAACATATTTCCACAGCCAAACTTACTAAGCAGCATGTAATTGAAATGTAAGTCCCATGGAAGCATGCATTTACATTTAACACCACAGAATGCAATGGAGTTCCAAAAATTGGAATCATGTAGTAGAAACTTCAATTAAATCCTTGTTCATCACAAAATAAGAATTCATATAAACAAACCACTCACTTGCAAACATCTCACTCAAGATAAATGGTAATCATAGAATAAACTGACAACAGTTGGTCCTCCACCCATTTCATAACTATCTTCTCCCAGGTTTCAATGGAGCTGCCTGCTTCTCGTGTTGATTCTGTCGTGATCAGGATCGGACTTCTACATCCTTCACCAATGCCATGTCCACCTTGGGAGGACCTGAGCTCCGTCTCACCGCAGCTGGAGATGCTGGACTGTATCTCTCTCCTGTGGGGAAAGACAGCCTCTTCTTCGCAGAAACCACAGAGGATCTGTCTGCAGACTCAATGGTGTCATCTGAAAGGCTCTGGAAGCGGGACTTCGCTCTTGCTGATTCTGTGGGTGCCATGTAGCTCGGAACGGCTGGTGAACCAGCTAGGCTCTCATCGTCTCTCACTGATGCTGCTGCTAAGCTGTGCCTCCTGGATCGCTCAGATTGCAGGCTGACCATGCTCCTCAAGTCGTCTTCCAATGGTGCCCAACCACGCTTCGGACTTGCTGATTTCATCTTCCCTGTTAACAATGGTGCCTTCACAGGTGGTGTCGAGGGAGATTGGCGGCTTGCAGGACGACTTGGTTTCTGGTTTGATGGTGACGGCTTATCTGGATTGGCATTGCGACAAGCATAAGCTTTTAAGATTACCCCACCTCCATCACTCTGCATGGTACTCTTGATGGAGGCACGGTCATCGTTCGGTTCTCTATCTGTTGTGCTCCTGGTCTCCCATGGCCTTGCTGCCATCCATCGCTCCAACCAGCTCCAACCCCATTGTAGGTTATTGGGGTCCATAAACAATGGATTCACTGGCTTTGAGGAACTCTTCCACTGCTGCACAGCAAAATTTGGAAGATAGAAGTAATTGATATTGAAGAATATTATGAATTCAAAAGATATATGAAAGTTGCTAAGTGGCAACTTTTTTTTAAAAAGAACTGTGGCACTAACAATTTTATGAGGAAATTATATTAATAGTTTTAAACATTCACATAGATGCTAAATTCCATTGATAGAATGAGCTCAATTACCTGATGAGAAAATGCATAAGCCAGTGCTCTTTCTCTTCTTATTGCAGCCTCTTGCTTGCTTAACAGACTTGCCTCAATCTGTTCTTTTGATTGCAAACTGTCATCCCATTCCTCACCCATCTGTTATTAAAAGAGAAATTAGACATGGTCCAAATTTGTAATTTTTGCTTACTGAAAATGTTTGAAAGTGTTTTTTTTGCTGTTCTCCAATAACATATAGTGCAAGAAACACATTTAAAGCGATGAATGGTTACAAAAGCAACTTTATTGGCAAGTATCAAACAGGAACAGAATAGAGAATTAGATCCTAGCAGTCGATTTCCTAGCCTCATTTCTGTTAATCTTGACTTGTGAAAGCATATCTTGATCAATCATGTCCACCATACAAACATGTTTCAAGTACTCATCAAGAACATAGAAAACATTGAATATGTCTCCCAATATCAACGGATTCTGAAAGCAGCACATGTGTAGAAATACACGGACAACCAATTTTTCTTGTTTTTTTGTTTCAATTGTGATGCCTAATTCATGGCATTCAAATTTTAGTTCTCTATAAATCAGTTATCTGTATGTAAAAACATCAAACTTTATCAAGGTTGCTTCCCATCTAGTTTGGATGCAAACAAGTGGCATGAAATATACAACTTTAACAACATTTATCGGCAACCCTATGCATAGATGGATGTATGCATAAAGATGAGTCATTTTGACCTCGATAGGAAAACCTGTAAAAGTGAAATTGTGTATTCATTTCATCTTTTTCTACATGCAATTATAGATTTAAGCAATCAACCATGAGATCAAATCAAAAAATATATGTACTAAGCAATATAAGTTAAATATAAATGGCTCCATCATCCTCCTGATTAAATAGATGTTAAGAAAAGCGAACAAATTTTGAATGTGTTCTCAGTTCTGTACAACAAGAAAACTTTGTGCTAAGACAGGAAACAAACATGGAATTTGTGAGTTACCTTCAAACTTTCAAGCTCTCTTTCATGTTTGAGCAGCATTTGTCGCTGAAGAGCCTGGTTCTCTTCTAGCATCCTGATTCTCCTTGAGCGGATCTGTGATTGAACCCTTGCCAGGGTCTGCATGCATCGTAATGTGGTTGTAGCCTGACGCTTAACAGTATCACCATCAACCAGTGACTTCAACCTAACCAACCCTCTCAATGCCCGTAGAGCTCTCCTTGCCTTGACACAAGATTGAAACAATAGGCAATTATGAACAATTAACTAACTTAAGAATTTAAAGAAAGAATTTGTGAAGCTGCAAATTTGGATCAGAATATTAAGACTGGTGTTTTGGCCAATCACTTGTAAGCTGAGATGCATAAAGTTTGGTTTTGCCTACCTGCACAATATAGAAGGGTTACCTTCACACTTTTTGTGTTGTTGGTGAGCTTGATTAGATCATCACAATCTCAGATAAATGGCCATCGGTATGGTAAACGGAACACAGCTATATGGTATAAGATGCATCGAACAATTTTGTTGGTCTCAGTACAGTTATGTAAAGAAATCTGTGCTGTACAAACATGGTTTTTCGAGAAATGATAAAACATGCAAGTATCTGGATGTTACAGTAGGAGTTGGGACATGACATTAATTGAAGATCTTAGGAAGCATAGACACTTAAAGTTAATCACTTGGACTAACTTGGGTTCATTTGAAGATCTTCCATTTTTGACACACAAGAATATTATCTTAATTTGACTGTTCACTAATAAACAACAAACAAACATAAACATTGTGCAATAAGTTTCTTGGAAAGCACAAGTGGAACCCACTATTGAGTACTATATTTGTTCATAACCCAAAGCCACGCAAGAACTATGCAAGTTTTGATAGCTTGCCATTTTAAAAATGGCAAGCGATCCCACTAAATTTCTTCTGTTGGACAAACTTGCAGGAACTTTGAACTTGTTGATTGTCTACTACAAAATGACACTCTAGCATCAGAAATGTTAGTGCTTGTTGAGAGCAGAATTGGAACAGCCTACTGGTACAAATGCCATATTCCGAATTCCAACAAGTATATTAATCGTTATATTGCAACAAGAATTGAATCAGCCTACTGGTACAAATGCCATGTGAGTTCAAGTACATAGTAATTAAGACCTATATGTTATATTGCAACAGAAGTTAAAATCTCTATGAAGGGCATGAAGAAGATGTGAATAATTTCATTGTTATGTGGAGGACAATGCACCGAGTTCACGTACCAGGTGGCCTCGGAAAGCAGTCTGGATCTTGATTGCAGCGATCTCTTCTGTCGTCTTGCCTGGGTATTTTGTGGTGCTTTTGAGGCGAATGATCTCCCTTGCGGCCTCAGAAGATGTCACAACAGGTTCAATGGCAGCAGGAGCGGCAACTGCTGCGGAACAAGCATGCCTGCTCTGCTCATTCTCAATCTCCACTACTTTATCCTCCTCCGGATGACGAGGAGGCGGAGGAGGAACTACCTCGGAAGCAGCACGCTCTAATGAGTCAGCAGGTTTGGAAGTCCCAGATTCCAGTTTCTTCTTCAATCTCTGGAAAAAAGAATGAATTTTCAGTAAGAGAAGTTTGGTAGAGCAGATCTGATCAGCAAAGGAGTGGGGGCAAAATCCGTACCGCTTCCTTCTTCGCCTTTGATTCAGGGCTGAAGACCCTCTTCACAGCGCTGAACCACTTCCCCTTCTTCCCCATGACCCCACTGTTCTTCTTCTTCTTCTTCTCCTTCTTCTTCTTCGAAATGGATACTCTATTAAAAGAAATTTGAATCAAGAACCAAAACGAAATGCAATCTTCGGAGCCAAGGAAGCCAGATCCTGAACAAAAACCCGCAAAAAACCTATCTTTCTCATAAAGATCTGATCTTTTCAACAGAAAAAAGAAAGGTCGCTTCCTCAAGCAAGAACAAATCTTTTTCCCTTTCTGAAGGCGAAAGAAATAACAAGTTTCAAGATCTCCTAAGAAAAAAAGAGTTATATACCAAAATGTATACTTTCCGTAGCAACGGAGGAAAAGAATATGAATGAAGCACGAGTTGAATCGAACAGGCAAAAACCAATCCACGGAATAGAAACATGTTGAAGGAGTAGATCATTGGATGCGAAGTGGAATGAGCTGAACACCTTGGAAACCCTCGATCTCTCCCTCTCTCTGGCCTCAGCAACGGACACCGAACACAACCGGACAAAAGAGTCAAAACGAACTCGCGACGACTAAATCAATCGCTTCGTTCTCCGCCACTCCGTGCGAGAAGGAGAGAGACCGGACCGATCCCAGATGAGAATACTAGATCTGCGTGGAGAACGAGCGAGCGAGCGAGCGACCAACGGAAGGACGGCGGGCCCACAGAAGGGTCCCACCGAGATGTAATGAACCTACCTCCCCTCGTGATCGGGAGTGGCGGCGGGTCCCACACGGGGCCCATGTCGCAGAGGCAGTTGGGTGAGGTGCGCAGGCGACGGAAACAGAGCAGCTCCGTCGTCATCCAAATAGTTGGATCGGGTAACCGCCCGCCCAGGGGTGAGGTTTCCGACACTGGTGACGTGGCAGGAAACGATTGCGCAAAGGGGATTTAGCGAGCTGGAGAGAGAGATGACGCGCTTCGCGGTGCGCACATCGGCACTCACCGTCGAGAACGATCGAGCACGAAACCTGTGAGCTTATACATCTAATGTTGGAAACAGGGAAGCTGCGTGTGACCAACGGATGAAGTCAGTAACTCACGGTGCAACTTCCACTCCACCAAACCATATGAATTCCTCCCTCTCTCTCTCTCTCTCTGCTTTCATGGAAGGCTGTGATCTGTGAGAGCAGCAGCAGCACTGGCGTTGCATGACTTCGAAGCAATGCTTGATTCACATGCCTTGTCAAACGTCACATGGACGATGTGACAGATTATTAATGAAACATTAAAAAGAGTCTTTCCTTTTCATGATTACTGCTGTACAGCATTCAATTTGTGCGGTTTCTTTCATAGCATGGGTTGACAAACCAAATTAAGATAAGCGTTTCTGTGATCTTGAAAGCAGGTGAGGGTGCAGATCTGGATTCCAGATTGGAAATAATAACATGTAACCTCTTGTTTCCAGCCTTTTCGAGCTGGTGATCTGCAGTATGAACCAGCAAATTTTGGGTAGTATTTGCTATTATTTGATTGCATTGCAGCAAAATTGAGAACAGATGGGTTATGACTGTCTCCTATCATTCATATGATCTTGCAGAATTGTCTGGGCATTATCTCTTTCTTTTGTTGAAGAGCACTACATCTCTTTAATTTTGTGATTTAGTTAATAATTAATGTAACTAAATTTCATGTCATCAATCATCTGAGAGAAATACTTGCTTTCATAAATGTCAAACAACATCATGAGTTGCTACTATTAACCTATACATTTATTTCATGGATTGGTTGGATGCTGCATTTTATTAGGCCTTGTCTCTGAGGAGCCTTTTCTGAGACTCACAACTAGTATTGTTTGTGAGTCACCATGCCCAATGATAAGCCCCAAAGTCCATATCCAACTTCTCCACCAGGTCAGATCTCATGACTAAACTCAAGATCACTTGCAGCAACTCTGGGAAATTATGATGCTAAAGACTCTTTTCAGATAGTATCATTAACCTGCAATCCATATCAAATATTAAGAACAGAGCTTCTATCTATATGTAATTTGAAGAGGTCTAGTGTGTGCAAGAGATTATTTTCATGGCTCGAATTCAAACCATGTTATTTTAAGACTATTTAAGAAAGATAATTTCATGCTCAGACCATGCAACTTGACTGGATCTGACCCTGTGGAATGCCTGTCTTATACTGATTCTATCAGAAAGTTTGAAATGCATGTTTGGCACTGAGATAACTCTGTAAAATTTTTCTGGCACTGAGAAAACTGGGGTTTTTGGTGCACTGAAGTATTGTAGGGAAAAAAAATAAGGTTTCTTGGAATTCAAAGCTAAAATGTTGTGACAGTTGGACACTGGATTTGATGATTTTCTTGCAATAACTGTCTGGGTTTAAATTCTAAAGAAATACACATTAAAGAGACTATTACTACTAAATGCTAACTCATATCAAGACACAAGAAAAACAACTATCAGCCACTAAGGCTGAAGTCTCAATGTTTAAAAGAAATATAACAAACAACATATTCCTTTGTGAAGAAAAATAATGATAACTAGTTCTGCAAGCTTCACATGATTCTTAGACAAGTTAAACATGGATTATACAAACTGCTGAATCACTATTCATGTGAATGAAGTTCCATACAAGCAAGAGGACAAGTCTTGTTTTCTGGTAACACAAACAACATTTCAACTAAGGAAAAATGAGATCACCCACTGTCTTCTGTTTGATTGTGTTGAACATAAAAGATAACTGATACAAATAGAACTGTCACATAGAGACAAATCAAGCCAACTGGAATTTGATGGAGCCTCTTCTCTTCCTTCGGCAACTTGAAGCCAATCATCAACTGCTGGAGGTAGGAGCACAAACTTTCATTAACAAACCTTCAAGCATCCATTATGTTTATATTGTATAGCAACAGCTCTAATCTACAGACCTGTCTAGAACTGGAACCTGCTAGGTCTTGCTTTACTCATCCTGTTCTCTCCGAAGGGCTCATCGTTGTCGATCCTTTTTGCGTTTCTGAATGCGGCACAACCAATGACGTACACGATCACGAGGATGACGAGCACAACAATGTTAATCACGGAGACCTTCCTCCAGTTATGCCTGATGCTCGCGAGAACCCCGGCCTTGCATGATCCACACTGGTAGCACAGTGAATGTTGCTCGTTGCTCCACCTGGTGCAGTCAATGTCATTCACCACAGTCCCTGGTTGTGCAGTCCAGTATGTCTCATTTACGTATGTAAACCCACACGAAGTGGGAGGCTTACAACACCCAGACTGCATCGTTGAGAACCAACACAATCGAGAAAATGAACATTGGTAAAGAAAAAAAAAGTCATCAACTCCTTAGAGAAAATACGTTATAAATGTAGCTGGTAATGACAATATCTTTCAGTTAACAGTTAAGGTAGATGCTAAACAAATGTTATACAACATACTTGAGATACAACTTTTGATTAAAGAAATTGAGCAGAAAGCAATAAACTATTCGGGAATGGCACTCAAGCAATAAGAAAGTTAAAAGTCCACTGAAACAGATTATACTTGATGTTTATTAAATATCTTGTGAAATTAAAAGGGCTCATTCAATTCCATTTAAATTGGTGTAGATCCTCTACAACTATGATTTTTGTAGATTCTCCGCGGCCCGGTCCCTGGCAATGTTTGTTTGGTCAAAATGCAATCCAATCAGTCGGGGAACTATTAGGGGGTAAAACAACCAAGAAAGCGGATGAATAATAAGTTTCCATCTATTGAGGTCATAGAGATTAACAATTTGGGATTGGGAAGACCCGTAATACCTAAACCAGAGGGAGTACTCTCCTCTGGATAAGGTAAGTAGAAGACTAGCAATTGGAGAACCAACCAAAGTCTTCAATGGGGATAGTGTGGGGTAGGAGATGGAAAGGAGCATTCAAGGACAGGAATGGCCACCCACTCCAAAATAACATGTGCTGTTGGTTCTTTATAATTACCACAAGTTGTAGATCTTCCATGATACCCACTTAATTTCTGTGTTCTATCTTCTCCCTTGGTCCCACTACAGGGGAAAAGATAAAATAAAGACCTCATCCTCAATCATGTAGCCATGGTGGTTCTCCTTTTTGTCGACTAGGAAAAGAAGAAAGTAGATAAAAGATCTGTTGCTGTCATATGGTGCAGCTCTAGTGATCCCTGAGGACTTTTCTGCACAACAGGGTTTTCTATCAGCACATGAACAAAGATGTCTTTTTCTGTCTACATCTGTTGTTTCCTTTGCTGTTAATTTTTCTTTGATTCTTAAGAATCATTTAAGAAGGCAGGATGCAGCTTATTGTTTGTGTTGTTAAGCTTTGATATAATCCTCCAACTTTATTTACATATCAATAAAGATGAGCATAGATAATCTTTGAAGGGGAATCTGAAACCTGAACTAGAAAAAGGCAAACAAAAAGAACTTGCCAGAAGGGCAGTCTGCCATCTACATATATTGCTTGGAGGCAAACATAAGCAGCAATTCTTCCTTTCTTTTCTCACATAAACCAAAAATAAAGGGAAGAGTTCAATAGAAAAGCTAAAAAAGAAAAGGATTCATCAGTAGTAATAGCAGTCATATCAGATAGTACATGGTTGCAGACATGCATTAAACAATATAATCAATTAGTAGATGGAGACACTACAAATTTAACCTATTTACTGGGAAGAATTAAACAATATCATCAGTGTTTTTGCTTATAATCGAAACAGAACCTAATATCTAATCTTCTCAAATCAGGCATCACCAAAACGGTGGTAACAACGAAATCACACCATTAGATGTGTAACATCTTCTCAATTCACTAAAAAGAATCAAGAAACACATCAAAGAACGTGTAAAGTGCTTTTAATCTGCTAAAAAGACAATCTTTTACTGAATCGTATCATGTTTTGATTTTTCTGCTCCTAAAAATCCATTATTTCACCTAAAGACGCTCTCTTTTCGCTCACAACCTCAAAGAATTCCCATTTTGCAACGAAAACAAGCAAAGAACATAAAGATTTTGATCCAAGCACTGACCTCGATAGGGGAGAGATGCCTCTGGTAGAACAGAACCGCGGGCTCAGGGATGAGCAACCCCGTGGTGGAGTCCCGGCCGTACCTCGCCATCTTGGGGCACACGCGGCTGTCGCGGAGGCAGGCGCTGATCTTGGCCCAGTACCCGGGGTCGGATACGCGGTCCTTGAGCCAGCCGGAGTAGTCCGAGAGCTGGTACTCGAGGAAGGCGCGGTCCATGACGACCTGGCCGTGGCCGCGGTCGGTGACGGCGTAGGCGAAGACGACGAAGCTGAGGAGCGCGACGACCACGAAGAACATGACGAAGAGGTAGATGCGGAGCAGCCAGGTGAGGCGGTAGCAGGCACCGGCGAAGCCCATGAGGGAGATGACCATGATGGCGATGCCGATGACGATGAGCGGCCACTGGAGGAAGCGGAGGCAGTCGGTGGAATTGGCCTTGGCACTGAGCCATATTCCGCCGCCCAAGATGGGGATCGATATCAGGAACGTGACAAAGTTCACGGCCCCGATGAGGGTGTTGGTACCTCGCATCATCTTCCCTTCTCGTCTCCTCTTCACAGCTGATGGAACTCTGTTTCGCTGCTTTCTCTTCTCTTCTCCTCCAAAGGCGGCGCCTTTATTCGGTGGCTTGTTCTCCGTCGCTTCTCCCCCTCTATTTTGGGTGAAAACAGGAGGCTTGGGATGGTAGGAATGGGTGAGAGAAGGGGATATATAACTGACATATAATAAAATAGCAGCAGCTGATGGCAGTAAGAGTGTCATGAGACTCGAAAGGAGTGTGTGGGGACTGACGCTGCTGGTGTTTTGGAAGCTTGAACATAGCTCTTGTTTTATTCTCTTTTGTGGAGTTTGGCAGGTAGGGGGGGGTGGAAGTGTGCAGTGTCTCCAGGTCTCTCAGAAAGGTCTAAGTACAGAGCCAAGCAAGGTAGAAGACTCACAGTAGCTTGTTCTTGGCAGGATGAGATCATATGAGACAATTCAACCTAACATGACAGGAGAAAGAAATGACAAGTTAAAGAAAGTAATGTTTCTCTGGGTTTTACTTGAGGATAAAACTCTCTATTCATGGACAGTGGACAATGAGATTCTTAACTTTGAGGAATTGGAGCTTGATTGCATGGAAAAGAAATTATTTCCTCAACATTCATCTCCAGCATATATATTTTGTCAAGTAATGTCAAATATGTTTTAGGACTATCATTTGTTTTTAAGCTTTTTGTGGCAAAAAGAGGTCAAAAATTTTGAGATGATGAGAGAGAAAATGTGAAAGAAATATTTTAATTCAGGAGAATATGAAACTTGTTCTCAAATGGTTAACATATAATTTGATTTTTTTTTTCCCCTGTTGTTGTAGACAAAAAATATCAAGCTATGTAAATCTTATATTTGCTATTTCTAATCTTACTATAAAATATTCTTTTATATCAAGCTCTTGTCTCAAAACAATTAGAGTTCAATTGGCTCCAACTATTGTGCAAAATAAGCAAAACTTTAGCAAGATAAAGGAATCATTCTTATGTTTCACCATTTAATATGAATAGAAGTAGAGAAGGGAAGAGAATTGGAAAAGAGACTAAACTAGAAACAAAATCTCCAATAACTTAGTGAGAAAAGCTGAAGAAAAAGTATGATTTTTAAAAGATGAATGGGAAGAAACAAAAAAGAATCACCTTTTCTCCAACATCTTTTTGTGATCTCCACCACATTCATGACCAGAGCAGAAACAAATCGTTTTAAGCATGAGAACTTACAGGGACATGAGGACATGAGAATGGACAAGATGAAGAATATTCCTGTCACCCAAAACAAGTGGAGAAGGCCAATCAGAAGATGGAAGAAGGAAGACTGTGTGTTGGTGACATGTCGTGATGGGAAATCATGGAGACGAGCAATCATATTCAACCGCACTATTACCTTTGAATGGACTCTCGATATTTTCCTGCCTGCGGATAATGTTGAAATGAATTAGTGGGATTAAAATGATACTCCAAAGCTGTGCAAAGTTGAAGAGAAGGTTTCTATTATCAATCAAGATGATGAATTCTGATTTTGGTGACAAACTCGATAGGAAAGCACAACCAATCTTAAGACTTGATTAATGTCCAGCATGAAAAGTGTAGGCAATGTGTGTATCCATCCAAGCAAATGTAAGCGGTTGCTCAAAGCATCATATGTTTCACAGTAACATATATAAACCTGACCATAACAACAAATTTTAGGAGAATTTGCTTCTCTGACGAATAAAAACATAAAACCATCATCCAAGCACCATAGTTTAGACACGAACATTGAGGATGCTTATATGTTTATACCGGCAACAGGAACACAAACTCATACCCAGAATCCCCAAGCTGCTCATCAGTAAGTTGTCTATAGTTTACACCACATGCTAGACGTGGACTCGAGCAGGTGCAGGAGGTCCTTTATTTTTATCATCTATGATATTCCTTGCTAATAATAAAAGCATGATCATATGATGAAATGCATTTAGCAGATTATGCACTCTCTGGGATCAGCATTTGAACCCTCTTCAGCAGTCTCAGGATCTGCGAATCCCAGGATGAAAGCCTCTCTGTCATCATCTTCATCGCTCTCGAGGTCTGCAGTTGAGGGTCTGTGCTCGATGTAAGCTAAAGCTTGCCTTCTCTGCAACCTCAAAACATGCATTATAACATCAGGAGAGAGTGAAACTCGTGCACGAGCCTCTCTTCCTCGCTTATTAGCTGCCATAATCTGCCCATTAAACAAAGAATCACAACAAAGATAGCAAGTAACCTATTTATCTTCAAGTCCGAAGGAGATGGAACACCGTACCTCTTCTACATTCCTTGGGAGCGGAGAGGGTGGCCAGCCTGGAGTCCACAGCTTTACATTCTTATCATATCCACTAGAAGCAAGAAAAGGGAAAAAAGGATGGGGCTCAACACAGTTCACAATGTGCTTATCACCAGCCATCATCCACACCAGGTCGCCATGTTTTTTCTTCCATATGTAAACATGACCACAATCTGATCCACTGACAACATACTCATCACTGGGTCCAAAGAAACTGACCCCCTTAACAGTTTGTGAATTCCTGTGGCCAGCATACACCTGTGGCTGATCAATCTTGTCCAAGTTTGCAGCCGGAGCAGACCGTGGATTTGGACCAAGACCCATGTCTCTCTCAAACAGGTAAATAAGCTCATCATTGTACGAGACTAGCAACTCACTCATGTAAGAATATGCAAGTCCGGTGATATGGACATTATCAGAGCCAATAAGATGACGAGGACAGTAAGTATTCACAGGTTGGTCAGAACTACTTGATGCATCCCACTGATAGTTTCTTATGTCATAAACTCGTGCATATTCATCAAAGCCTCCTACTGAAAAATAGTAAGGGTTGCAGGGGTCTATGACAATGGTATTCAGTCTTACAGGTTGTTTGTTGTCTGAGAATGAAGAGCACAAGAAAAGTTTGGTAGGGGCATGGCTTCGCAGATCAAACTGCAAAAATCAGCATTCAAGATCTGCAATGCTAATTATTGCAACAAATATCAAGATGAGATAACAGAGGCGGCCTACATGTTGTATTAAACCATCCTCGCCACAGCTGTAAAATATGTGAGGACTTCCAGGCTCAATGGCAAGTTTGTGTACACGACCACGATGTGTACCCAGCTGTTTGGTTGTGACTATACCATTGTCTGCAATCTGGCCGACCCTTACCTAGGGAAAAGAGACAACAAACAAGAAGTCTCTGAATACTTCCTTTCACAGAGAGGTTAAACATAAGGAAAAAAAATATTAACCAGTAAACCACCTACCCCCTTGAAATAGATATCAATATAAGAAGAAACAAAAACAATCATCAACTTGATATTCATTACATTCAGAATAACTGATCAAGTTTTCATAATCCATTATAAAGCCAAGGGAAACTAATCGGGTGGCACTCAATGGTTGTGCAATGCTCAGCCTAGGTCAGCAGCAAACCAATTAAACGCAGAAAGTACAGAGGCAAAGTTGTGTTAAAGCTAGCAAGTGAAACCTCTGTCCTTCATTCTACAAGCAGAATCTGCAATTCGTGGCTTGAGAGAATATCTTTTTAGAAAACATAGATGTAAAAATTATTGAAGATTGGATTAGATACAAATCTATTCAGGAAAAAAAAAGTATAGTTGGGACTATGAATATTAGTTTATCTTTTTGGCTTATGCACCCTGTGAAACTCAAGCGGCAGCAGGCACATGATGGTCATATTATTAGTAAAAGAACCTAAGTTTAAAATGACAGGAATGTCAAATCTATTCTCTTTGCTTGATTCTTTAGAAAGAACAAGAAATCAGGGGTGATTGCAGTCATGCAGAATCAAGTTAAAGTAACAAACTTATGGGTATGTTTGGTTTCTAGAAATAACTAGGGTATATGAAGAACACAAAAAAAAAGGACAAGATAATTGCTATTCTGGTGAAAATTCTGTCATAGAAAAATTTTCATATGAAAGAAATAGGGTAATCTAGCCCTTCAGGGACCAAAATTTTAATGCATCACCATTATCAGTTCGGTTCATGCATTTGAAATGACTATATAAATTTCACTAAGATAATAAACAGACTTGGCGACCAAATAAGCACTGTTTTCTCTACCCCATTAGTTGGATGACTATTCAGCTGATGAATCACCAAACATTACCAACATCAGTTGGTTATCCAGAAGTAGTAGAGTTGTTCTGCTTTATCCCAAAATCAGGGCTGTGATGTTGCCCATGTTGCCTTGATCTCTTGATATCCTTAACATATTTCATTAGTAAGCCTAACTAGGACAAGCAAGTCTGCTGTCAATTCGTGTTCGATGCACCTAATGCAAATCAAACACAGGTTCTGCTGAATCTAACAGTTCAAGAGCGAAGACAAAAATGAACAAAACGTGATAAGACAGTAAGATGAAAGGACTTAAAAGTGTTCAAAAAGGAGAAGATCAGGAAAGGGGGAAAAGGGAATTGAATTCATTTTAGTTGTCACATAGTAGCCTGTCACATCAAGACACTAGCAAGAGCTCACTATACGACATAACAGCCAGCAGGCTCATCCCCAAACACCTAAGTATTTAGCTAGTAGAATGAGGTATCATCTCGTAAGGACTACTGCCAAAATTCTGTATCTATCTCATGCGACATCTCACTATTATATGCCTAAAAGTTTGATGTTTGTCCCACTCTAGCTATTTTGATGTCTAGTAGTAAATGTACACACTGTTCTATTAACTAGTACATAATCTTAAATGTCAAACTATGGGTATCGAGATAGTAAGAGAATGAAATTCTCACCATCATAAGTAGATTGTTCAAATAATGGACCCATATTGCATCATCATCTAGAAATATCATCTGCAACTGTATCCCCTCATCTTTCAGTCTTTCCTTTGTACTCTGTGCAGGACATGAATACATAATCAATTCCAATTCTCTTTCTAATTTTCTCATCCCCTTAAATGCTATTATTATTGCAAAACTTGATGGCCCATGGCTCTCATAAATTTCCACTCCCTCTTACAGTCTGATTATTGTCATAAAACTTCACCTTTTATTAAAATTGCTCGGGTTGTTCCCTCTCTATGTGCCCTCTCTGTGCCTAAAATTGTATAGTCCAAAGTTTGCAATTTTGATCTATACTTGTGTAGTGAGCCCTACTCAGTATGATACATACCAAGGTGTACTGATGGGACACTCAAAATCATAAAAAAAACCTCCAAAAATATCTGAAAAAAAAATAGGTTAGGGTTTTTAAGTTGAAAATAAATATAAAAAATTAGAAAAAAAATATATACCTTTTGATTAGAGTGTTCTACCTCTAAATCCTCCCAAATTAGCCTCCTAAATTTGATCTAATCCATAAATCATAATTTTGTTGAGTTTAGGAGAATGAAAATGTGAGAAAAAGATAGAGATGTGAGTGAAAAAGAGTTTGAGAGAGTTTAAGAGATTGAAAGATTGAAATGAGTTGAAAGAAGAGAGAGGAAAGGGTTTAAAAACCCTTTTCTAAGCCTCAAACGATCAAATTGACCATTTGAGATAGGGCAATATCAGCCCTTGATCGGTAATGGTCGAAATCCAATTATTACTACCCGATACAAACCCCGTATCAGGCGATACGAGGCCAAGTGACTAGTACCGCTCGGTAAAGGGTGGTCCGCGTACCGGTATCCTATCAAACTGATACATACCGCTCGTACCGAGCGGTACGCATCGGTACAGCAAACCCTAGTATAGTCTATATATGAATGCTTTACAATTTTTTGAGATGTATTGCATTCTTACTAGTTACTTATTCTTTGATTTTTTTTTTTTCAAATTCTTTCCAATTATTATATAAATGGAGCATGCATATGTGCGCACATAATACAGATGGGCTAAGTAGTAAGTAGTTACCTGATTGCTGCAAGACCACTTTTGCTTATTAAAATCTTGGTGATGTGTTTTTTAATAAAGAAGAATATCTCTCTTTGGACTTATTTCAATATGACTTGCTCAAGGAATTGTTCCATTATAAGTAAAAGCCAAGGACACACAATGCAAAGATGAATACTGCTGCCATCCTACTACTTCCTAGCTACTAGCACATAATGTAGTATTACAATCTTTTCAAATATGATTAGTCCAGTCCATGCGTAAGTGCTTGTATGACAAACAAGAACTAAAGCATGAACTGACATGGTTGATTACCAATATCTTTGAAAAATTGTACTTACCCAACAGTTCCTTTTCTATCAAATGAAAAAATTCCAGTCCTAACATTCACAAACTTACAAGATAACCTTCTATAAAGGAGTGCACTTTACTTCCAAGTTTAATTTGGCCATCAGAACAAAGAACAAAACAAGCATTGTAAGTGAGCCGAAAGATTTTACATTAAAAGTGCCCCTAAAAGTTGACATACCTGACCATCAGCTGCAGAAGTTATTATGGTGCGGTCCTCAGTGAATGGCATAATTAGGGCCTGGAAAACATTATCCATGTGACCAGAAGCATAAGTGAACTTTTTATATTTGGATTCCCAATTCCATAATATAATGCCTTTGTCGTCAGAACCAGAGACAAGAAGGTCACCAGCAGGGTTAAAATGTATAGTATTTACACAACCCTTATGGCCACACAAGTTCCCATATGAAACCATTCGCTTTACAAGTGCCTAATCATATGACGAAAAGGTGTTAGATACAACTTCATTTTGAAAATTCCTCAAATACTTTTACTATGAGAAAGAGAAACTAACATCTTGGTCTGTCTGCACAACAAAACAAAAATCAGCATAATCTTCTTCATATAAAATAAAATAATATTGTACTTAATGCTCCACCATACAGATATCATGCAAACAGCATCCCAGTTTGATGAAAAATTGTCTATGCATCACAATTTTAACTTTATCTTTTGTTCCATGTGGTCCAGGAGTAAGATGCACCTTGAAAAGCCAATAGAATATCAAATTTTCAGCTACATCAATGCAAATAAGTAGACAACAAGACAGTGAAACGAATGTACAATAAGAGCAAAAAAATGTTCGATGTAGCGAAGAAGCATGATTTACAGTTCATGCAACATCAGTTTCAAGGCTCAAGTAAAACAGTATTATACTGTTTAAAGGCCAAAGACTCAATCGTAGGACTTAATTGTTTTTCGAAACCATCGCCCTCATGTCCAATTGCAACAGCGGCACTACATAATCCCATTCCTAACTTCTCTTGCTTACTTTGACAACCCTTGTACCCAAACATAACAGAGGGACAGTAATACTCTAGAGGATGGACAGTACTTCCGAGTTTCCACCACCAGAATCAGGTCTTTAGAGCAAGGCCACAACCAGTTCCTTTCCTGTTATTCGAACAAAGCAGTTTAATAAGTTCAGTAGCGAGTAGAACAGACAATTACAAGCAACAAATAGGAAGAAAACGGACAGAGCAAACCATCTAAAAAGTTGAAACCCACAGAATTTTGACAATGTTCAGAGAATTATTAAGAATTTTCCTATACAGAAAAAAGAACCATCCACATTAATTTTTCAGCTAGATCAAATCTCTCTGATACTAGAATGACTCAAGAATGACAAATCCAATTGCACGAATGGTAAATCCAAAATCAAACAAATGATCTACTCCAACAAATTCTGGTAAGAGAACTCTAATTGGGGGAAAAAACTGAACAAAAATTCCCTTCTATTAAATCACTTTCTTCTAAACCTAACCCAGTCTATGTATGTAGCTTAGAGTATGTTACTAACAGATTGAGCCCTCTTGTGATTGCAAGCAGGGCAAGACCATTAAGTAAGACCTCACTTTGATTTCAGTTAAGATACCGAAGGAGACGTATAATCAAAGAAGCAGCGGGTAACGCGAATAAAAGTAAAACCTTTAGCGTTTTGGAACAGAGAAGGGGCGGCCCGATCAAAGAAAACACTCACCTCAGAACCACCGACTCGGCGAGCGAAGAATCGAGGCAGAGACGGGCCCAGCTCCCTCTTCCAGATCTCCTCTAAGCCGCTGCCTCGGTGCCTGGAAGCCTCGGAAGGCGTCACCATGTTGTCTCGGAGCCAAATCAGAGCGGCAGCTACAGCTCGCTCATGGAAGCCCGCCGCAACTATCACAGGAGGAGGTATAATTTCTCCTTCTATCTCCTCCTCCTCCTGTTTATTGGATTTAAAACTGATGGAAGATTGGATTCATTCACATATGCGTTGGACACATCCAACGAATTAATTAATGGGCTGCCTATTTCTTTATTTACTTTTATTTGTTTTTCTTAATCTTACTTAATTAATGGACTTCATAATATCTTTTTAGTTTAATTTTCAACATATATTGATGCAATTGAAAATTATGATGGGCCAAGGATTAAATTATATTTTATAATCTAAATATCACGATTCAAATCATAAAGATGAATTATTATTTTTTTAGCAAGATCACTGATAGACTTTATTGTTTTTGCCTAAGCTATACAACAACCTTTTTCCATGGACGTATGCAATCCCCTACATGCACGAAAAGATCATATTGTTAGATAATTGAAATTGATTACGTACAAAAGATTCATGGCATGTTTGAGCGTTTCATGTTCGGGATGGCATGCGTATAATTTTTGGAGTGTCGAGTGCCACTAAATTGGGAATAGTGATTTGTCCAACTTCATGTCTTCCAAAGGGATGCGTGGCCGCGTGTCAGCACCGTCAGGCTGTAGTGTTCTTGTTGCTGCTCTGCAGTGCAGACCACCTGGGCGAGTAACTCGACGCCACGGCCGCCGCTCAGGATCTCGTGCCATTTCGGTGGCGAACAGGGCTCCCTACCATTTCCATTATCGTGATGTGATGAATGATTCCCACACAGTAACTCACTCATGACACCTTACCTGATACATTGTATCTTCTCTTTGGCGTTTCACTTCTGACACGCTGGGCCTGCAGACCGGAGCATCTCGATCAGGATCTCTTTGTACCTTCTTCGCCTTTTGATTTCTTCTGCACATGTAACATCAATAAGAAGTACGAAAATGGAGGGTACAGAGTGGAGAATCTGAAAGAAAAAAGAGCTTGAGAATATGGTGTTGGGGAGAGAAGAATTCAGCTCCTCTCTTGTTGATCAGGAAAGGAATGTCTAGGAAACAAAGAACTGCTGCACGAACGGTGTTGCTTCTTGTACTGGAAAACCAATCAACCTTCACTATGGACTCATGAATATAAGTAAAACAAATAAAAATGAGCAGAAAAAAAAAAAAGCTAAGCGCATCAGAATACTTGTTAATTATGGACTTTAAAGAGATTGCAATCCTCCTGTTCTGCCCTGCATACAAAGTTGTTATCGACTATCCTCTTTCTCTTCTGCTGGGAGGATTGAAGATACCTTCACAATGCGCAACAGAAAAACTCTGAAAGATTAACAGATAAGTTGAAGTAAATTGTCAGAAATA